TCTGTAGCTTCCCTTTTCCTCCAAACAGAGCACAGCAGTCCCAGAATGGCATGACTCCTGCTTGGATATAGGATGAGCAACCAGCTTCTGGCTTGGGATCTATGAAGGTGGGATGAAGCTTTCTCAAGGATCTCCCATGCCCAGGTGCTATTGGAGTGGTGGTATTAACACATGGTAACTTAACAGTGAGATCTGATCCAGCTACAAGTAAGACACGCTCGTTTAAGCAACAGTCTTAATGACAGTGGCTTCTCCCACCACGAGAAAGGTTCACTTTGGACCTGCTTCTGGTCCAAAGAAGAGCCTAGCATGGCTGTTAGTGCAGTTCATCCTGCAGGACAGCCAATGATAGAGGTAGTCTGTGGTTATTTGAGAGCTGAGAGTCATTTCATATTCCAGCACTCAACTTAGTTCATCCCCAACTCACCGAGATGTTGCATGGAAAGCACGGAGCGGTGCAGATGATTCCTCCTGGGAAGGACGCAAATCCTGCTGGAAGCAGGAGACGTTCCTGGCTCAGAACATGGCCTGGATGTGGCCCTGTGCTTTGTGGTCATGCAGCCAAAGAAGGTGCAAGAGAATGTACTTACCAACAGGGTCCTTCAAAATAAGCTCTGGGTGAATTAAAAATGCAACAAAACAATAAAATAAATGGCTTTTGTTCCTCAGAGGATAGTTTAGAAATAGAATAATGCCCTAGAATAATGCCGTGTATTCCAGAGTGATACATCTGAGAGATGCAGGCCCCCCTGTTTGGCTTGCTGGGTTGACACTGAAACCCTCTCAGTCCTTTGAAGGATGCCAAAAGGAGTACGAGGACGAGGAAAATGAGCATGCCGTTTAGCCTGGCCTGCTGCTCCCAGTCTCCAAATGCCCCCTAGGATTTTTAAGTTGCCCAAACGCTTAACTGCTCCCTGCCCAGCCTCCAAATCTCCAGCAGCCTCCCATTTGTGTCCCAATTACAAGTCATCTTTGCTGATGTCTGCAGGCATCACTCAGTACATCAAATTCCACTTCGAAGCGGAGCCTGTGCGTGATTTAATGCATTGGAAGCTCCCAGTTAAAAACATGAATGAAGCTGCCTGAATTTCCAGTGCAGGAAGCAGTGGGTTGCAGGGCCCTGTGACCCTGCAGCCAAATCTGGGCTTGAGTTTTCAGGAAAACTGTAGTCGTGGGGTATTTTTGTGTTTGCTGCAGTCAGTTGAAAAGGAGCACTGAGATTCTCCCAACCTCTGCTGTGTCCCTTGGCTTCGCAGGTGTCCGTCCCATGTCAGGAGATGGTTAGTGAGACATCCCTATGCTGTGCAGTGCTTCTGATAGGCAATCGCCCTGGCTTTTAAGCAACTACTTTGAATTTTCCTTAAGCTCTCCAGGGCTATTTTGTTTGACCTTTATTTAGTTTGAGTATCCCTACTAGGAAACCAATTATTGCCAGCCCCTCGGGTGGCTGCTTTAAACTGGGTTTCACTGTACTGGAGCAGTGGTGGTCACAAGTGCTGTAGTTAAGCATTAGCTCTAGTTTCTAACCTCTTCTCTTTTTCTGTAACCCAAAATAAGTTAATTTGGGTTTGAAAGTTTTTCTGGCTTGTGTCAGTGTCATAGTGACTTAGTGAATGTGTTTTTGCCGTTTTAACTCCAGAGGAAAAAAGGTCCTGTTTTTTTGTCCATCAGTTTCAAGACTTGCAAGAGCAGATCCTGTTTTTACCCATAGAAGACAACAACATCCCAAAACCTGCATATTTTGAAGACCCATACAAAACTGAAAATATATATATTTATAGATATCGCTATCTCCATGGATCCTTACTCCAGCAGCTTCCTGAGTGAGTCTGGAGAAGATTCCATGAGTGTCCTGGACATTTCTGTTAAGCGCCTCCACCGAGATGGTCAGTCTCGTGAGACTGCTCTTTAAGCTATCCCAAGGACTTCACAAACTCCTCAAATGGAAGAGCTGCTTTTTGTTTTTAAATTCACAATCTAGAAACATTTAACAGCATTAGTAAATGTTAGGGTAGTGTTAATGTGGAGCTATGAAGCATTTCACAGTCAGTAAATTCTCAAAGTTTCCCATGAAAAAATAACTTGGCCTTAATGCATGTGCCCTATATAGTTATTTTTATTCCTTTTTTCCTGGTAAAATACACCCCTCTATTTACCGCTGTGGCATAGTCTTAAAAAATCACAGGATGTTCAGCTTGATCAAAAAGCACAATGAAGACCTTTGCCTTTCGAGTGCTCGATTTCTTAATTTTATTATTGCATCAGTGCCATGTTCTGCTAATTATATAAATGAAGTAGAAAACTTCAAAGGCTCAGAATTGTGTGTGTGCGTGTGAATTTCCTTTTAGATTTTCATGTATTGATTTAAGTATGGACAGCTATGTTTAACCCTGAAAATTTCCCAAGTTTTGAAGATCGGCGTACAAGGGAGGCCGGTGTCGGAATAGCCATGTGAGTGCACCCACCCTCCATAATTCCTCCTGCAGTTCAGTTGTTTTGGGGGTGCTTTTATTGAGACAGAAACTGTGACCTTACTAGTGTATGAGGTTCAGAGACTTATACAGGAACAAGGTAAAACCACAGGTAGGAATTGCTGAATAATTACCTTTAGACCAACCTGAGCAAGAACCTTCCCAAGAGGGCAAGCTCATTTAATGGTTCCTAAAACTCAATCTTGTGGATGTCAATGGTCATGCTTGATTATTTGCAGTGGTGTTTTATGAAAAAGCAATAAAAATGCATTGGGAGTGTACAGAGGGAGAAGGGAACAATAAATGGTTTTAGTTTTTCAATTGAGTCCCTTTGGTGCGAGCAGGTAGAGGCTGCGTTTCATGCTGCTGTGCCTTAGCTATTTGAAATGTGCCTATGTGTGT